TTTCAAAATATATTTTTACTTTCAAATATTTATTTTTTTACCCCATCTCACCCTACCCCCCCCAGCCCCAGCCCCACCCCCAAAAAAAAATTTAAGTTCATTTTTTAAAAATATTTTTAATTTCAATTCAAAATTATTTTCTACTCTATAGTTAAAAAAAGAGATATTTTCTCAAAATTAATTTTCATTCATAAATCAAACACTAAAAAATCTTTTTCGGAAAATATTTTTACTCACCAACCAAACATGAGAAAATAAGTCAAAAATCTACTCTTTTTTCAGGAAAATATTTTCCATGAATAACATTTTCCTTCGTACCAAACACACCCAAAGTTACGGTTTCAAATAGGCAATTATTTAAAGCTAAAGTAGTTAATTATTTTGAAATCTCTTGAAAACCAACCAACTTGGAGAATAAGAAACAAGGAAGCAATGATGGTCTTATGAATTCTATCACAAGTTAATATAAAGGAAACAATGATTCTCATTAGATTCAATTAATTGCTAAAAATTAACAAAAGAAAAATAAAGAATTTGAAGGGATGAGTTTTATTCCATTACAATTGAATTGATAGAATTGTTAGTTAAATATCAAGAATTTTCATGGCAAATATATATATGTAAGTTTTCACACTTGAAGCAACACAATTTTCATGTGTTTCACTTGGAAAAAAAAAACTAAAAACATGTTGAGGATCTTTACGGTACTGTCTTACCTGATCAAAGAAAAGAGAGATTTTGTTCGGTAGTAAAGTGCAAGCACAATCATCACCCACAAGAACACCGTGAAGTTCAAAACCCTTTTTCTGTCAGATAGATCCGTCGTTCATGAGTTTCCTTTTCACTTAAAGATCCAGAGTCAAATACTCAAATGATTTCTTTGGCATGCTGTCAATGGTTTGAAGGATGAATGGAGAGAAAGTTGAGAGTTGGGGGCAACCAAAGAGACTAAAAATGAATTAGGGTTTAGAAAATGATTGTGATGGTTAAACAAATAATGAAGGGGAGATGTGTGGTTCATCTGGTTAAATTGAATGGACGGTGGAGATTAAAAGGATCTAATGGGTTGGGTTTTGGATTGTTTTGTTGGGCCACAAATTGGATCAATTTAGGGGTTGAAATTGACTGTGAATTTGGGCTTAAATTGACAAAATTTAGCTAAATATTTTTTTTCTTAAAATGGTAATTGTCTTTAGTGTTATCATTTTAAAACCAAAAAAATACTACAACGATAATATAAAATGATATTGATAAAATGATAGTAGTAATTTGTAATAAAAAAAATGGCATATAAAGTACTTTATCAAATGACATAAAAACAAGATAATAAATGTATATGTAGTTTTGTGAGAACTAAAAATGCAATGAAAATTTTCAAAAGTAGATATAATAAAAAAATTTAGTATAGGGAATATTTTTTTAAATGTAATTCTAGTGATAAAATGCTATGGAAGATTATGATAAATTAAGTATAAAGAAGTTGAAAATTTGCAACAATTTTGTTTTTCTTGTTGCAAATATATTCAATGTTGTTGCTAAGAGTACTTTTGGCAACAAGAATACAGTAATTGTTTTTTGTTGGAGTAAATATTGTTAGGAAAAATTTATGTAATAATAAAATATATTGTTTTAAAAAGCCAATTTACGCAACAAAAAAAGTTATTATCATAAATCAAAATTTATTGATAAAAAGTCACTCAGTTGTGGCTTATGCGATTATTTAGCAACAAAAAATATTGTTGAAAGAAATTAATACTTATAAGGTGAACTAGAAAATTAGAGCTCAAATACTAATTAATTGATTCATGGGAAAAGGCATAAGTTGCCCCTCAAACTATACCTGAAATCTCAGCGACACACTCAAATTTAATTGGAGTCCTATTTATCCGCTTAAACTATTTTAAGATGGAATAAATATCACTCTAAATGTTGGCCTGGAATTAATAGATAACCGAATGAGTATGTTCAGTTTGCATTACACGCGCTTCACTTTTTTTTAAGCATTAAATCTTTTTATTATTATTAAATTCATTTTCTCTTTCGTAATTTTGAAATTTTTTTCTCTTTTCTATTCTTTTAGAACTTTTCATTTTATTAATGGCAAGCAAAGTATCTTCCATTAGCGAGACTGGCGGTGATATTTGAATGGAAGAGATGGAGGCAGTGTTTTCCGATTATGGCATGACAATTTAGTGGCGAACTATGGTGGTTCTAAAGGGAGAAAACAAATAAGAACCAGAACTGTAACACCTCGGATTCAAAAAAGGGAAAGAAGGCCAAAAGATGACTACTAGTTCAATCCACGAGACCAGTCTACGGTCCGTAGAAGGTTCTATGGATCGTAGACCAGTCTCTTAGGAAGTGGGAAAATATTTTGGAAATCAAGTCATGGTAACTCATCCTACGATTGACCGGGATGGTCCGCCAAATGGACTACGGACCGTAGAAAGGTCCCGTAGAAAAGTTTCAGACTTGGTGAAAATTTGGGTTGAAAGTTGAAGTCCACGGATGGAGTTTACAGACCATAGGAAGGTTGACAGTCCATAGAAATGATTCGGAGGATTTGCCAAAGATTTTAGGCCCCAGACACTTGACCTACGGTTGACCAGTATGGTCTGTAGAAATTTCTGTTGTCCATAGGTCATAACTGTAGTGTCGGCCGACAGTTATTTTTAGAAGGATATTTGAGTCTTTTCCTATGTGCTTAATGCCTAAGCTATGCTATTTTAACCCTTATTCTAATCTATATATAAGGTTTTTAGGTCCTAAAACTATCCACTCTAAATTCATTCCCCTAATTTCCAAATTCATCCTCCCTAATTTCCCTCTCAAACTCAAGGAAGAAGAAGAGGGATTATAGAGTTATTCAAGTTCAAGTCTCCTTTCGCCATCATCTTTTAGGATTGAAGATCAAGGTATGTAGGGAGTTCATCAATGGGTTCCATTCACCCTTTGAGTCTCAAAGTTTTCTCAAAATTCTCCAATTCAATTTCCCTAAGTTGATTAGGTTTTCATTGAATTCCTCATGGATTCTATTTGTATGGATTTAATTGTTTTATTTTGATCATATTATGATTATCTAGACTCAACTACAATTTTCAATCAATTCCATATGAACTCATGCATTGATCATGATTTTGACTATGAACCCTAATTAACATGAATTTATAAAGAAGTTATGAAGTTATGAATGATGTTTTCATGATAGGCATGCATGATTCAAAATTTAAGGAGCTATTCTATGATATTTTTAGCTTGGATTAGTTGTGTTTTTTCATGGATGATGCTATGTTTATGATTATGACTAATTTCGTCGAAATTTTACTTAGCTCCCGGAGGATATTGAGATGGAGACTCTCCCGTTAGTAGAGGTTGGGTCTCTAGTAGAAACCTCATTGTCTCTAACTATGTTCCCCTATAGATTGTCTTAAGTTACATAGCTAGTGGATCCACCTAAGCTAAAAATTATGGTCCTTGCCTTGGCAAGTAAGAACATTTTTTTTGGTGTGGGAGCAAGACACCGAATTCCGCGTAATAACTCATGTGGTCTATCTCGATTAATAGTAAATATCCCACAAAATGAACTAAGTTACTTTTAAAGATTTTATAAAGTTTTCCTCATTTGTTTAGATGCATTTACCATGTTCATGATTATGATTCTTCTTTAAAGAATTTACTATGTTTAGCTTGGTCATTCACCTCATGTTTTCTATTATGTCCTCTTATGATCATATTTTATATTTTATGCATATTCCTCATACTTAGTACATTTCATGTACTAATGCATACTTGTGCCTACATTGTTTCACTAATGTGGGGCTTGACGACTCCTCTCCCTCCCTTCTTGGCTAGTCGATCACCTTAGAAATTGAAGACTTTGTGAGTCCTCATACTCCGAGGACCATCTCGCCTTTACTACTTTCTTATGTCATTTACTTTTGGATGTTGTACGTGGTGTACGGGTTATGTCTCGACCACTCGTTATGATGTAATAGATGGCTTGTCAAGACTATGTTAGACTTCCACTTTGAAATGTCAAACTCTTTTATTGATATGAAATATTCTACTTTTGTCTATTATATTGTGTATATGCATGTCAAGTGGCTTGTGTAGGTCGGTGAATGGTGCATCGCTCCCTTGTGAAAATTGGTCTTTCTCGTCCCTCTTTGATTATTCGTTTCTTCCTCTGTAAAAAACAAAATCTTCCTCATTCCCTGTGCTTTGAAATCCCTATGTTCAAATTGGACAACCCACAAATTAATGGCTCCGATTTAAGAACAGAAAAAATCAAAGGTAAGTAAAAATTAAACTGTGAGAATATGTGTTGAAATGCTAAGTTTTAACTCTGATTGATGCGTGACTCCCGGAGAAGATGTCGTAGAGAGTGATTTGAAAATGTTGAAGTAAGACAGGGAAAACCTCAGTGTTTAGTCTAGGAAAATCTCATACGGTGGGGAAAACCTCAGCGAGGACGATGAGTCCATAGAGGGGTGTATGTGACGCCCCAACTTAAGACAAAACGTTTCACATCGGCAAAAACACAAGAGAGATGTTGGGAAAGTAATCAAGTCTTACCAACTAGTGACGTGTTTTAAATTCATGCAGGTCTCATCCTAGAGCAGACAATATCACTAGCGGGTTGGGTCGTTACAGGTTTAGAAGATTAAGGAATTAGATGCAATTTATTAACTAATGCCCAATTAGAAAATGACTTTTGTCTTTGTATCAAGACAACATTTATGGTGTATTTATTTTATTTTAAAATAGTTGAGAGGGGTAATAGGATTCTGAAGTTTTGACCAAACTAATCCATTATTTAAAGCAATTCACCAAAATAATACGTTTTTTAAATTTTTTACAAAAGTAGTATAAACGTATTTCTCAATAACGTTTTAGGACCAACTATGTGGAATACTGTAGTTGACGGCGTTAAGTATAGAAACGTTACTCATAGTCACGTTTTTAGCCTAATACGTTACTCTGAGTAATGTGTTATGCTTTAAAAGTACTCTAGGCCCACATCTCAAATACACGGTGTCATTTTTATCCTCTCTTTTTTTAAAGAATATTTTAGTGGCCTGTTGGGCCTTTTATTGAATTTTTTGTAACCAATGTCTACATAAGGTCCTTGGCCCAAAATAAAACACCAAAACAAACAATATGCTCACATATTCTAATATACCCGACCCGACTATATCTGATTTATCTAGATTAGTGCAATTTCCTCTTTCGGAAGGTGAATCGATCTTCCTTCTCCGCCTTTGCCTTGCCGGAAACTTGGTTCCTCATGCTTCCTCTTGTTGCGTGTGTACTGATCGATGATACCAGTGCTGGTAATCTTTCATCTAGCTTGATTTCTTGATTTCTTCATTCCCTCCTTCTGACATTCTTCTTCTTCCAGCTGTTCTGAGCGTACCTCTCCAACGCCATGGCAACGAAGCTGATTACTGGTGAATCTTAGCAGATGGAATTTGCACCTAAGTTGAGTGATGAAATGCCCCCCTTTATCGCTATTTAATCTCGTTGTTGGGGTATCTTTGCTGTCATGTTATACGCTTTTGTGACCCCTGCTCTCCTCAACATTTCTGTAATTTCCCTTGTTTATTATTTTGTGTATTTGGATTGTTGTGATAGCCTCTGCTCTTATATATGCTTCTCCACATTCCTGAGTATGTACTGCATTTTGCTTTCATACATGGCTTTGTATTCTCAAAATTGGACCTGATGTAGCTTGTTTACGTTGTACTGTTTATGTTCATTGTGGGATGATTTTACGATTCCTTATTCTGAGCGTTGGAATTTGTGCTTTCTCTGCATTTAGGATCTTTCAATTAAGACATACAATTTCATTTGGAGGCAGAGAGATGCAAATATTGATGCAAACAGATTTTACCATAACATTTTGCATACAGTGTTTGAGCATTGTATATTTACCATCTTTTCGTTTAATAAAGCATTTACCATCATTTCTTTTAAGAAGGAAAGAAGCTAAACGAGCTACTTCATTTAAACTGTAAAGAGTGTTGATGAGCCTCAGCAGAATTCCATTTTTAGCAGCTATACAGCAAAAATCATTTCTAGAGGTAGACCGCTGAAGCTTAAACACCTGCCACATGCCATCTATAGCCATGTGAACCATTTCCCTGCATGTGGTTTGGGAGAGGAAACTTTAGCAAAATAAGGCATCTCCTGGAAACTGAAATATTGATGCTCTGCTTGCGATTCTATGGTTATGTTTGTCAAAGAATCAGCCAAACAATTACCCTCTTTGAATGTATGTATGATTGTAACATTGATATTCTGCATAATTTCTCTCATCTCCTTCATTTTCTCTGTTATTTCTATTATCCCTTTGTATATCAATTGTGAGTTTCAATTTCAAATTCATTCACCAAAAACCCTTATTAGCGATTTAGAGAAATTTCCAGCCCTAAACCTGCTATTCAAGAAATCTTCGGCCCCGTGCACTAGCTATTCAAGAAATCTTCGACCCTTATGTAATTGCGATTCAAGATTGTCTTAGGTCTCAAGATTAATAGAGAAATTATGGTTCAACTCTTGATGATGTCGGAAGCTCAGTATGAAGTGTTGTTGGAACCTTGTTATGAAGCTCAAATTTCCTTTGATTTCAAAGTATGAAGTTTCTTGTTTCTTTTATATTTTCTAAAGAAAGTGAAAAACAAGTTATCTAACAATTTTGTGTAATACAACTAAGTTTAGTTTGATGTAAGAGGGAGGGAAAGATAGGGGAATAGAAGGTTTGGTTGAAGAATATTTAAGGGGAGATGAGATGAAAGTAGAATGCCAAAAAATACTCTTTTTGCCATCTTTCTGCCCTTTCTTTACACTTTTTTTCTGGTTGTTTTAATTTTTTTCATTTTGGCAGCAAATACCAAGCATATGTTTGATGAATAATTGGTGTGACTAGCTAATACTAGTTTAAAAGATTTAGTGGATGTTATATGATTTTGTCAATTTAATAATTTTAATTTCATGTGTTTCATTTGTTTTATAGGTAGTTTTATGGCTAGTAATATTGCATACCAACTAGACCCCGGTCCACTTGAATCATCTGTATTAACGGAACAAATTACCCATAGATCACGGGATATATGGGATGGAAGTGTTAATATGATTCTAAATACGAGGAGGTGTGATGGTAAATTTTGGGACCTCGTAAAGAAATATCCCATCCCTCCTTGAGTCTTAGAAGTGATTCAATTATCTGGATTGTACGGTGTTTATAGGTCTCATCGGCCTATGATTGATCGTAGTTTGATCACTTCCCTAGTCGAGAGATGGCGTCCTGAGACGCATACATTTCACTTTAGGACGGGTGAGGCAACTATCACCTTGCAAGATGTAGAGGTGTTGTATGGCTTACCTGTGAATGGTCATCCTGTACTTGGTAATAAGTTGATTAGGACTATAGGAGATTGGCAAAATATTTGTCAAAGATTATTAGGTTTTACTCCATGTCCTCAAGACTTCAACCATAATAGCCTTAAGGTCTTTGCACTTAATGCGCATATGCTAAGGCAACCACAGTTGACAGACATGGCAACACAAGATATGGTTAATCAAAAGGCTAGGTGTTACATGTTTTGGATGATTGCTGGTATGATAATGGTAGATACATCTGGTAGTTTTTTAAAGCTTATGTATCTTCCCATGCTCGAGGACGTCAATGCAATTGGGTCTTATAGTTGGGGTAGTGCGACCTTAGCGTGCTTGTATCATTTTCTCTGTAAGTCCTCACAAAGTAACCAAAACGAGATAGCTGGATTTCTAACACTACTTCAGGTATACTCAATAACTAAATAAATTATTTATTAATATTTCTTGTAGTTTAATTACCTAAATTATATATTATGTTTAGATTTGGGCATGGGAGAGAGTTACTGTCCTTAGACCACAGGTAATAGCACAAAGAGACATTAGAAATATTTTTCCAGCTGGTTTACCTAAGGGTCCACATGCTACTAGATGGTTTGCACGTTTTAGTTGGACCGACACTACTAAGCATGTGTTGAAAGTGTTTAGGGATGCACTTGATTCCATGACGGAGGATCAGGTACAATATAATATCAATTTTGTTTTAATTTTCATGTATATTGTGGTTTAAACTCATTTATATTTTTTCTTTTCATGTAGTTTATTTGGGAACCATATTCTGATGAGTTAATTGAGAGTCTTCCTGACTATTGTCGCATTGGACGAGATATATGGCGTGTTAGAGCTCCAATTTTTTGTTGGGATGTCGTCGAGGTTCACTTGCCTGACCGAGTTATGAGGCAATTTGGGTTGAAACAGATGATACCAACTCCATTTTTATTTGATTCGACACATTTTCACCATGATCGTCGGGGAAGACCAAATACAAATTGGGAGTTGGAGCATGCACAATGGTTGCCTTTTTGGAACCAACGACTTCAATATATTTGTGAAGCACCAATCAATCGTGAACCACTTCGATATGACGACCCCTACCTTATTTGGTTTAGACGCATTACTCGTCTTGTTATTGGTAATCCTACTCTGCGTCCTCAACAACAACAAGGTTATGTGCCAAATTCAACGGCATACGAAACAATGGTAAGTATTAGCTTTTGTTCTTTTGCTTGTTTGAACTGATTATAAGTTGTATATTTGTGTACTAAGAGACTTATTATGATCCAACGATAGCCTATTAAGCTTTATATGTCATTAGCATTTGTCTGCCAACTCCCAGAATAATCATTTTTATGCAACAGAAAGACTTAAAATCTAACTAAATATGTGTAAGTAGTTTGACAATTAAAATTTTAAGTCTTTGTCCAAAATTTAATGTAATGCACCAACCCATTGTAATGTTACTGATATGCTGAAAATAATTATCATATATATCCTGCTACTTAGGTTAGATATACATTACAGTAGCTATATTATAGTGCACTATACAATAGCTAATTAAAAGGAAACAATTCTTAACAGAGAGACTAGTTGTGTGCAGTACTACATTATATTTAATGAATTATGTATAATATGCAGGTGCGTTATATTCATTCGATGGTTGATAAAGCAAAATCACTCGGTGATCAACCATCAATGGAGGAATTTTACATGTTTCGTGCAATGGTGCGGAATGAAGGGAGAAAGATTGTTTGACATATGTGCACGAGGCTGATAGGATTAATGTACAAGCCGATTATAGAAGAGATGACATACAAGCTGACCATTTGCATCACCCTATTCGTAGGCAAGGAAAAGATGGTGTTGCTGGTAGGAGGGCACGTGCTGCTGAGAGAGGACGAGTTCCTGTTGAAATGGACGAAGCAGCCTTAGAAGATTATCAAGCAACTGGTGATATTGGTTCCACTTCAAGGAGTCACACTCAGGAATTCACTCCTGTGGCATCTGGTATGACATATCAACCAACAAATTCTGAGATTATCCCATACATGACGCCACAAATTTCAAGGGATCCAAGTCTTTCGTCACTTGAGAATGTCTTTGGTAATTATCGGCCTCAACATTTTGAGAATGCCCCAAATTTTACCTCATCGCCTGTGCCAATGTCCATGGAGATCCCTGATGCCATGACGAATTTAGAGGACTCCAACATCGAGATAGAAGGTAATGAGTTGGATGATTCCAACAATGAAGTGGATGGTAATGATCCCGAGAATGCAAGTGAAGGTGGTGAACCATCAGTGAAGAAGAAACGTACAATTTTTCCTAAGTTTTGTGGCACTGGTACAATTTTTTAATCTTTGGTGGACCATTATTTCTTAACATAACTGCTTCTTTTTTGGTTGATTAATTAAAAATTATTTTTACTTGCCAGGGAGTCATCAACTTAACCAACACGGCATAAAGAAAACAATAAAAGGTAACAAAGACACTATACCAACAAAAAGCAGAAGCAAAGAATAAATCACAAGGTGAAGACTTCCAAGTAAGCTTACTATTCTATGAGACTGCAAAAACAACCATATTTTTAGTTGATGTTTCTCTTAAAGCTTGGTTTTCTAGGAGTCTTTTAGCTTTTAACTAGTATCTTTTATTTTTCATTTACTTTATATGGTGGCATGAGATAAATTTAAATGGAGAAATATGGTTAGTGATGATTCATATGCCCACAAGTAATTGATATTGTTGATTGGAGCTACTATCTGCATTTGGTTGTGTCCTGCATCTGGTATGACTTATTATTTGGTTGCTAGTCCTTTTCTAAATCTCTGTTTTTATTTGGTTTTAGAGTCTCATGCAAGTGATTGGTAGAACTGGTGGATGTTGAAAGGATTTTTTTAGTCATCTGGTGATTTTCTTTTTGTTGGTCAGATCCACAGTTTCTAATTGGTACTCAGTTTCACATCAGTTTGGTGCTCAGTTTCTTATGCCTATTTTGGTCTGAACTTGAAAATCTGAAAAGTCAGGACTCAGGACTCAGGACTTAGGACTCAATAGATTGATCAAGATTTGAAATGATTACTGATAAAGTTTGAGCTTATTCTTATTTATGATTTGTCTTTGTTAAGATTTGATCTTGTTAGTGCTGTTTGATTTGATAAAATTGAATCATTAATATCTCTAGTTTTAATTCATTGATCTATTATAGATTACTTGAATGTGCTAGTTTCATTGTGATCCATATAAGGATCTACCCCATACAAAATTTCCTAATCAGTGGCTTTTGAGTGGTTATCAACATAACTTGACATTGTATATCTTCTTTTTGTAGGTGTCAAAAATGAAGAATGGGAAGAAGAAAGTAGTGAAGGCAACCTTACCTAGTTACTTAAGAAGTATTTTTGATTGTTGATAGATATGTTCTAAAATTCATTTTGCTATTGAACATTATGAAACTTATCATATAATTTTTGAATCATGTAAATGTCAACTAATGGTCATTTGGTTTGAACATTTTGTATTTACGGATGCATATGATTAACTTGATGGGTATTTTTAATTGTCATGTATGAAAGAAATTTGTTTTGTAATTTGTATAATTTGTAGTGTATTATAATTTCTGATACATATATATATATGACCTTCCAGGGCTCATACTGCAAAACCATTGTAAAATGTATTCCAAACCGTTGCAATAGTGTCATGTTGATTGTTCAATTATTGAAAAAAGCCGTTGCACTATTGAGTTTGGCTGTCGTAGTAAATGTCTACGGCGACGGTTATAGAGCGTTGCAATAATCTTATATATTCGTTGAAAAAATTATGACATTTAAAGTTATTGCTAATTAGACATCCTTGAGTTACATTACAGTAGATAATTTATCACATCTGGAAAACTGGAAATCTGGAAAATTTGGAAATCTGGAAAATTTGGAAATCTGAAAAATCTGGAAATCTGGAAATTAACACTAATAATTTTTCCTCTATTAGAAATCTGGAAATTAACCCTAGTTACATTACAGTAGATAACTGAAAGGAAATTAACACATTAGACATCGACCCACAACTATTTACTTAAATTTAATTACGATTAGGACATCGACGCCTATCATGTCCAGTCTGCCTACATAATCCACAAGCTCGCTCATACACTGTAGAACCACGATCCATTTCATTAGGTATTCTAGTTGTCCTTGGCCGATTAGGACGACGATAGAATTCATTACTTCTCATTGTAAAACTTGGAGATGGCCAATATGCCTCATGACCAATTGGTGAGAATGACCCAGAATATGATGCAACATAATTCTCTATTGTGAAATGCTCGCTAACAAAATTTCTAGCTAGCCCCCCATTCTATCAGTTACCTTCATGACATGTAAACATGGGAAGAGCAAATTAACCCATTTTCCACAATCACATTTTCTTTCATTCAGTGAAACACAATAAGGATTACCACCAGTTCCATCAACTTGTATAGATCTAACCTCGTATATCCCTGTGGGTATATTCCAATCAAAAACAAAGTGCCTTTTTGAACTTTCATAATTCTTCTCCCACTTTATTTTGAACCTCCCAGTCCATAATTCATTTTGTTCTGCAAGTTGGTGCGCTATTTGAGACCTACGGGTATACCGTTCAATAGTTTGCTCCAATGAAAGTCTAACCATAGCAGTGACAGGCAAACCTCGTGCTTTTTTCAACACTCCATTGAACGACTCTGAAAGATTTGTTGTCAACACTCCCCATCTTTTTCCACCATCATGACTAACAGTCCATTTGTCCAAGGGGATTTCCATGAGATATTCATATGCTTCTTCATTTTCTTCTCTAATTTGCCAAATCAAGGATTCAAATTTTCTTACTTGATGGGCTGAAGCAGCCCTCCACATCAGCCTACTAAGATCCTTGTTTGGAAATCGAGATTGAAAGTTGCTCTTAAGATGCCTTATACAATATCGATGGAAGACTCGAGGCTCCTGAAATCGGCGTAACTCCTGTAAACTAGTCAAAATTCCTTTCACTCAAATTTCTAAAAAACCACTTCATGCCTCTTTTGACTCTTTGTCTACAATAGCAAACGCTAAAGGAAGAATGTTATCATTTCCATCAATTCCAACAGCAATTAATAATTTGATCTCATACTTTCCATAAATATGAGTTCCATCTACTGAAATAACAGGGCGACATGTTTGGAATCCATCTATGCATGGCTTGAAAGCCCAAAATACAAATTTAAAGTTTTTACCTCTGATGAACTCATAGACTCTTCGTGTTTCCATTCCACAATTGTTCCATGGTTAAAGTGTTGAAAAGCTGCAAAAAATTTAGGTAGGTCACTAAATGATTTCTCAAAGTCACCATACACCAATTCAAATGCGCGTTGACGTCCAAGCCACGCTTTTCTGTATGTCACTTAATGACCAATTTTTTTGTGAACCTTTGAAATGACATCTACCACCAAGTACTTAGGATTTTTTCTAATTTGATTTAGAAACAGTGATGCAATCAAATTGGTATTTAGATTGGCGTGACCACTAGAAAGCCCTTCAGTCTCACATCTATGATTTTCAACATATTTTCCTATCTTCCAAAGGTTATCTCCAACTTTTCGACCTCGAAGAAACCACAAGCAACCCAATAAACTATAAAACTTACATCTCACAACCCATAGACTCTTGGTAGATGTTACCACCTTGAACTCTTTATTTTTGTGCAAACTCCAAATCGTTACCGCCCGTTTTCAATTTTTCTTTACTACTAAAAAACATACCTTTTTTCAAATCCTTTTTTGCTTCCTCAGACCAAGCTGAACAATATTCCATCTCATATTCACATGTAGACATGAAAATGTCTTCCTCATTTTCTAATGTCCTGAAATAGGGTATGTCATGATTTTGTATTTCAGACACGCCTTGTTTATGATTATGAAGATTTACATCATTTTGAAAAAAATCTCTAATATCATCGATATCTTCATCAGGTTCAATTTCATCACCATCTTTTGGAGATTCATCTTCCTCCGAACTTTCATCACTAATTTCAGCATTTACATCATTATATAGATCAACGTTGGTCTCATTATCTCTATAAAAAAATATTAGTTAAATTCTAGCAAAATTATAAATATAGAAGCTTGTTTTAAAAGCGATAATTTATACTCTAAAAGGTTATTTCTTCTATCAATAAGAGATAATTTATGTATACTAACAATAAAATTATCTTATTAAATTGTTACACCAAAATTCAGTAAAATATAGATTTGTTGTTTTACCTGGCCTCATAATCTCTGTGGCTATTATCAATACGCATTTGACTACTTGACCCTTCACCAAATGATCGATGACCATGCATCGACAATTGTTGGAATGGTGGTTGAACAATCGGTTCTACAAAATGAGGTTGATTGGCCAGGGTAAAGCCATAATTTTGAGCCAATAAATTCATGTGATAACCATGATGACCACTAACTTGAAATACAACATTTTGATCTGTTGATTTGGACTTTACATTCATCTCCAAGACATTTATATCAATCTTATCCACAAATTT